TTAACAAGAAGTCCACCAAAGACTAAATTCTTCCTAATCTCGGGAACATGAAGGACGTTGTTCAAAGTCACCACTTTGCCGAAAGTCATTTTGAGAAATATCTTCCCACATCCTTCAATCTTGAACTTTGCAGCATTTCCCATAGAAAGCGTCTCATTGGGTCCAACAGGAGCATAAGTAGCAAAAGCTTCTCTAACAGCAGAAACATGGCGAGTGGCTCCAAAATCAATCCACCACTCTTTAGGATTGACCACCAAGTTGCATTCGGAAAGCATGGCACATAAGTCATCAACATCATCATGCTTTCCAACCATGTTTGCTTGACCCTTCTTCTTGTCTTTCTTCGGAGCACGACACTCCGTAGATTTGTGTCCGGCTTTTCCACAGTTGTAGCAATTTCCACTGAACCGCTTCTTGCTTGGGTTGTATTTCGGTCCAGAATCCTTCTTCTACTTTTTGTTCTCTTCAACAATATTTGCTCCCATTATTGTTGAGTTTCCACGGCCTCTCTTTTCAGCAGCTTTGTTGTCCTTTTCGATTCTCAACCGAACAATGAGATCTTCAAGGTACATCTCCTTGCGTTTGTGTTTCAAGTAGTTTTTGAAGTCCTTCCACAAAGGAGGCAACTTCTCAATCATTGCTGCTACTTGGAATGCTTCATTGATGATAAGACCTTAAATGAAATTTCTGTTAGTAAAATTACTAAGATTACTACTTTCAACATCAGCATTATTTTGATTTATACCTTCAGCAAGGATATCGTGAATAATTACTTGCAATTCTTGGACTTGGGTAATAACAGACTTGCCATCTACCATTTTGTAGTCCAAAAACTTTGCAGCAACGAACTTCTTCAACCCGGCATCTTCGGTTTTGTATTTCTTTTCAAGCGCAGTCCACAGTTCTTTTGATGTTTCCACGCCACTCTAGACATTATACAAAGCATCCTCCAGCCCGCTTAGAATATAATTCTTGCACAAAAATCTGAATGCTTCCACGCCTCAATCACGAGAAAGCATTCAGTTTCTGGAGTTTCATCGGACAGCACAGGAACATCTTCCTTGTTGAACTTCTGGAGACTTAGAGTAGTCAAATAGAAGAACATCTTTTGCTGCCAGCGCTTGAAATCAATCCCGGAAAATTTTCCGGGTTTCTCTGCCGGTGCCAATGCTGCCGGTGTTGTTCGGCTCGTTGAGGCATTGGCAGTCACCATTGGAACAACTTGGTTCACATTATCATTAGTCATTTCTGTAAAAGAATGACACAAACGTTAAAATCACGTAGACTTTAATCTCCAATAGGTACAAAACCACAAAGGTTTTACTCTCCAAAAACAGTGAGTACAAATACAAAAAATATATTAAATTCCTTAAGCTTGTTAGTAATCTGTATTTGTAAAACAATTCTGGAGAAAATAAAATAACATAAACAGAAATGTAAACGAAATAACAAAAACCAATTCGAGCGCACTGAATTCACAGTGTTTCCTTAAGGAATTTAATCCCCTCCTAGTACCCAAGGTTATGGATTATTTCCTCCTAGGATAGAACGAATTACACACTGGTGTAGTGGTACTTCAAACCCTAGTGTTTCAGCGAACACAAAGTTCGGTAGCAAATCACACTCACTGTTGCTTTCTTTGAAGTTAAAATATGCAGAAGAAAGGAGAAGAACTCAGAAAATTCGTATGGAAATTCTGAACAGAATAGTCTTGTACTTATAGCCAAAGTTGGGCTGAAATATGAAGAGGTGCAACTCTTCAGAATGACTGTTTTTGCAAAATGGCCACAACATAAATGTCATAACATAAATGGCTATTTACTCAACAATAAAGAGGGAAAATTGAAGGGTAGTTAATTTTCTGTTACAATAATAGAAAATCCGAATCTGAAGCCGAAGCCGAAGCCGGAGTCGAGCCGAGCGAGCGAGCGACGACGGCGCGAGGCTTGCCTTCTTCTCAACTCTTTATGAGCTAGAAGAAGAGCAATTGCTTATATACCCATCAAAAACCTTTTTCTCTTCCAATATGAGACAATGTTCCTTCATCAAGGGGGGAAACTTAAAATTTCACTTAAAAATTTCGTTTCCCTCCATTTCCCATTCATCCCATTTTAAGCATTAATAGCTTAAAAACCCAACATTTTTACCATCGAATAGGGGACAATAAATCCAGCCAAATAGATAGTAGTACATATGACCGGCATGATCCTGTCTGGCTCAATAGTTTCTCCTTCCACAATGATCTTTTGATTCCATATGTGTTGCACTTCGAACTTGAACAGAATGACATCTCCCTTGAAATCTGTCTTGTACTAGACCATATTGGAAATCCGAGGTATGACTGTTGGGAGTCTAGAGATGGGTTGAAACTAATGTGGCCCAGGCCCAATTATCATTTATTTATGGAAATTTTACCTCCTATAACAAAGGTTGATGCCTTATTTATTTTAACTAAATACCCTTTTAAAAAATTATATTCCATAGCTACCTTTTGATTTTTTACAGCCAAATATCTATGTATGGTCACCTCCTACCCTTAAGCCATAAAATAAGCTTTGTATTATTTTTCTCTCTCATATCCCCTCAAATTTCTCCTATCCCCTATCCCATATCTATTCTCCCTCTCTCTCTCTCTACTCCCGATGACTTCTCCTCCGCCGAACGCTGGAGCAATTACCACAGTCACCGTTTCGACCATGGCCGTTATTCATTGAAACCGCCACCCTCAGCCTCACAATCTCATTCTCTGACGCAACATATCGGATCAACAAAAATCTCCGTTATTTCGCCGGTAATTATGTGCTAATCGTCGGCAACCAGAGGCAACGGTGACGGCGAGCGAGGACTGGATACTGATGGTGCTTCAACGAGACGACATTAGGGTTGTTCTTGAACAAAGACGACGGAGTTGGGGGCTAAGCAACTTGAATTTTTTGTTAATATATTTCAATGTATCTCGCTGTATTTCATTGTATTCATTGTCTTTTTTTATTGTATTTCAATGTATCTCGTTGTATTTCATTGTATTCATTGTCTTTTTTCAATGTATCTCGCTGTATTCTATGTATTTCATTGTATTTATTGTCTTTTTTTTCGTTGTATTTCAATGTATCCCGTTATATTCTATGTATTTCATTGTATTCACTGTCTCGCTATTTTCCATGAATGTATTCATATATATTTTTTTAATTAATATAATTTGTGTATTCAGATGTATTATATAATTTCTCTGAAGATTGCTATGTTTTTGGGGTGTTTTTCGGTTGAGAATCATTTTTATAACTGAAAATACAAATTTGTGTGTTATAATTGAGTTTGTTGAGTTATATTAGGAGTCTATTATGTTAATTAATTCACTTTCCGTTTAAAAACAGTGTAATCCCCTGTTTCACGCCGTGAATACAGTCGAATACAATAATTTGTCCAGCTGTAATCCCGTTTCACGCCATGAATGCAGTCAAATACACTCGAATACAAAAATCTGTCTAGCTGTAATCCCCTGTTTCACGCCTAGAAATGCTACTGTATTCATGAATACAATAGCTTAAATACATCGAATACACTCTAAAAAAATCTGAAAACATAGCTATTGGAAATAATATAGTAAATGGTAGCTACAACTTGCTAATAACCACTAAAATATAGTGGTTTCTGAAAGTTTTTCAATTTTTAATTACATACACATAACGGTCGTTTGATTTACATACTAGTTATGCAGGGATTATAACGTAGGGATTATTTATGCGATGGTTAGCATTAATGAAGTTTGTAATACATGAAGCAATTACATTAAAAAGGCATTTTTTGTTTTTAAATAGCTTAATCTCAGCAATTTTAATACATGTATTCTTATTCAACATTCTATCTTATACAAAAATATATATAGAATCACGCATAACTTAATACTAGTATTATTTAATACCGCAAACCAAATGTTGCATTAGAGTTGCGTAGTGATTACTTTCTTTTGCAGTCAACCAAACGTTGCATTACCTTATGTGAAATTTTATGCTGAAATTAATTAGACTAATAAATCAACCAAACGACCTCTTTCAGTATAAAGAATTTTTACACTATTAATATATCTTAACCTATTATAACAAATTTATTAACTTAATTTTAACTTACTAATCTACTTTATGAACAATTACCTAAAGTTACCTATTAGGTAACCAAATAATATAGTAATATATTATTAGTGTACTACAGAAGCTAAACTCAAAGGAAAAAATGGCTCATCATGTCAATGATAATACGTGTATGTAGAAAGGTAATCGGTTAAATGAACAATTCACATTCACTTCTGACATTGATCATGTGTGGTAGGGATATGATACCAATCACCAAAGACACAACTAACCAAAACGACCAGCTTTTAACTACATCCTTTCCTTATTCAACAAGTGCAGAAATAACTTTACTTTTATAAGTATTAATGCAAATATAAATTTTGGTAATGGCCAGCAGCTAGGGCTCAGTGTCAGCACCTGAGGAACCAACTGAGACGCTGAATCAAACAGTTTGCGGGCTCCTCCATCTTAAATATATATATATATATATAAATATATAATTGTGAACACAGTAATTAAAACGAGTTATTGAGTTCAGTGACAAGTTCAGAGCTCATAATATTTTAATTCTGACTCCACATATATATCTTAGGATCGATGAATTAATTAACATCTCTCAGCAACACCTCTTTTTAAATTTGGTTAGACCATTTATCGGTATAATACACATCCTATCTACTCATGCATGTTTAAATAGGTAGTTTAAGCAAATACCTAGCTTTTACATTCATTATATTTAGTGTTTGTTTGTCTCAAAATTAAAGTCAAAACATAAAAGGATAATATACCATTCAATATAATCAGCAAATTGGACAAGGACCATTGTAGTCGACTACACTTGAAAGGAAAACAAAAGGAAATTAAATGGAAATGAGGTTGGCATTCTTCACAAAATTCTTGCGAAACCATAAAATTTCTGAAGAAATCCCATTAAAGAAAATGTTGCTCTCAATATTCAAGAAATCAAATTTTCCCTAATATAATACAATCTACTAGTAATTAGGAAAACTACATATATAGATACTGTATTTTCCCCTTATAAGTTCTATCAAAGATATTAAAATTAATTAAGCACAAAAAATAGATACATTTTGTGATTGATCTAATTATGAATGATGACAATGGTGACCATTATTTCCATGATCATCTGCTCCATTATGTTGATTAGAAGAACCACTAGCATGACCAATTTGCCTTAACGAATTCATCGCCGTCAACATCCCCAATTGTCCTTCCACCACCGTCCCTCTGCCGCCTCCACCACCACCGCCACCACCCGAATGTTGCCCCAATACTGATGGGTGAGAATTCATAAAATTTAGTAATCCACTATTTGTCATTGACCCTCCTCTAATATTTGAGTTGCCAATAGTACTAGGAAATGTCCACATAGAATTAGGGTCATGACTAGAATTATTTGTCATCATATACAATGTTGTTGCCGGAATTTGCCCTTGATAACTTGCCGGAATAGACCCAGAATTACTAGTTTGTAACATATAATTATTACCCATATGGTAATTTTGTAACACCGGCAGTAAATCTTGATTTTCCGACCGCCGTTTTCGTCCAATATTATTACCCTCTCTATCACAGTACAGTTCCTGCTTAGCTTGTAACATGGCATTTAAATTCATATTTACATTTCCACTAGGAAAAATATTCAAACCCATAGACGAATTTTCTGATGAAAATAAACCAACCCCATGACTAAGATTTTGTGTAAGATAATTATGTCTAGAAATATTACCAGAACTTCTTAATGATATATTAAGTGAAGAATAATTTGCTGGTATTGTTCCAGTACCAGTAGCAGCAATAACTGAAGGCTCAGCTTGTTGTAAAAGCCATTCAATTGTTTCACCATCAGATTTATGACCTAATTCTTTAGTCAGCTGAAAAACCCTAGCTGCACATGTTGCTGGCATACGAATCCTACGACCACGACCATCAACTTTTGTGTGTCTGTCTTTTGTTGAGGTTCTTTTTGGCTGAGGTTTCTTGTTTGGTTCTTGGTTTGATTTTTGATCAGCAGAAGCATCAGTACTAGGATATGGATAAATTGAAGTAGAACAGATTGGATCTTCTCTTTTTTCTAATAATTGTAATGGGAAATTTGGCCTTTGCATAGAGTTTCCATAATTATCATGGCCAGTTTCCATTATCATATAGTGGTGGTATTTCTTGTGGGAGATCTATTTTGGGAGTGGCGGCTAAGCTAGATAGCTAGTAGCTTAGTGGTATATGTAGTATGATACTATGATGTATATTTATGGGATATTTACACAAATAGCAGGTTATATTTATTATTTATTTTTTTAATTATATACATAGATTATATATCAAATATATATATGATTATATACATATAATACATGAATTATGCATATATTATATCTCCAGCAGCAATTTTTAGTAGTGGCAGAGCTAGAATTTGAAATTTGTGGGTTCTGAACTTGACGTCGACACATAACATGTCTTAGTTACTGGGTTCACAATTATATAATAATACAAATTTAATAGATTTTTTAATATAAATACAGGATCTACGCAAAAGCTACTGGGTTCGGCCGAACCCGTAAATAATACCCTACCTCCGATCCACTCCTGATTTTTAGTTTAAGTGGTTGGGTGGGCAATTATTTGAGTTAATTCTCCTAATAAGGATCAGAGGCTTCAACTGAATCCAATATTTTCAACACCAAATATAGATGGATATATAGGTAAAAAGTTCTTAGTTCTTCAATCAATATTAAATTTCAAAAGTATATATATATTGATTTTAGTGCTAAAAACATAAAACTAAACTCATTAAGTTTAAATCATAGATCCGTCCTTTGTGGGTCATTGTCTAATCTTTCTTTCTCATTCCGTATCAGTAAAACTATATAGTTGTATAGCTTTTGGCTGCTTGAAGTTTCTTCTCATATTCCATCAGTCAAAAGAGAAGAAAAAGATAAGGGAAAGAGAGAAGTGAATGAAAGCTTTAAGCAACAAACATAATGAGTGGGAATTATACAAGTGGGCTATATGTGAAATTGGAAAGTAATGTTAATCATAAAAAGTAAATCTTTGTTTTTGTGAGGGTATGAATGTAACATAGTGAAAATTATTTTTTCCTCGAATAATTTATATTTATTTTTGTTTAATGAAAAGGAAAAAAGAGAGAAAAATTTGCTGGCAAAGAATTATTATTGTGGTTGGAAGCAAAGTCTCTTATTTCAGACTCGACGTGTGATGCTGCTTATCTTTCAATCCATAAAGACTGAAGGGGTGACAGAGGGACCCAAGTTAGGAGAACTGAAAATCTTGGAGTTGATTTTAGAGAAAAGAAAAATAAAAAAAGAGAGAAGATAATCAAGTGGCCATATATATTTAATTTAGTTCATAACTTCATATATATCTCGTTTGAGCAATCATTGTATAATTCAACTTTTTCTTATTTAATAATCAATCAACCATTGTGTTGGAAATTCAGGGACTACTTTATCCTGTCGATTTGATTGAAAGTTAAGTGGTGTTCTACTTTTTTATACTTCTGAATTTTAGGAATCAATCTTGTAGTTGAGTGAATAGTTAGGTACTAACAAGTATAGCAAGAAAAAGAAGAGAGAGAGGCTTTCTCTAAAGTAAATGAATAAAACTAATGCTATTGAACGGCCATCTCATTTAAAGGTTTAAGTTGTTAGAGATATACTTTTATTTACTTAATTATTTTTTTTACACGCTTTCTCACGTGCAGGCTTCATTTATTTTTTTTCATCGGCCAAGCACATTAAAATTCATTAAATGATAGTGGTGGGACTCAAACTCAGGACCTTTACCTACTCAGAACTATATTTAAGTGTGTGATCATCTACAGTTTTCATTTTAAATGTGGTATACGTCCTAGAAATTTTGATTTATTTGCATCTTCAGAAGCAGTTCCTCAGAATTATTCTTTAGGCACAATTTTAAAGAAAATGTGACTTCAGCATGGGTTTAGACTTTACTAATCGTAGAAAATAACAATTAAACAAACAACAATATTTATTATTATTTTGAAAATATTATAGAAAGAAAGAGCATAATTTGATAGATGTGGTTGGTTGCATGTAATTTTCACTCACATATACTTGATTATGACTACTTCAATAACATTGTCGTACGTGAAGATTCATGAATCACTCTTTGATTTGTAGTAAACTCCATTTGGATTATACTTGGTCTTGTCTCTGTTCCCAAAAAATTGTGATTAAATGTGTAGTTTTCTAGCATATAAAGTTGTTAATGCACAATTGCTAAGGATATCCAACACATCAACTGTAGATTATTTCTTAACTTGTGACTAATACACTTTTGTTCTATCACCCTCAGTATGGTCCTATATATGCAAGATAACATATATTCAACATTTAATCATATGGGAAGTACGGTAATTAACATAATCCACGACAAAAGTCACTACATCGAGTTTGATATTCTAAAATAATTAATTGTCTACAGTTAATCATACAAACTTCTTTTTTCACCCGGTGTTTGTTACCTGCGCCGCTGCGCGCTTGCGGTCCCGACTAATTTGGATTCACGCCGTGTAAAGTACATTAAAGAGAGAAACGCTTCCTACTAGAATTTTTTTCATTACCCAGAATTTGAACCTGAGACCTTTGATTACGGGTGATGAAATCATATCCATTCCAACACAATCCTTATCCTTAGTGATAAATATAAACTTCTTAAAATATTTTACGATTACTATGTAACTCCTATTCCCTCACAAATTAGTTTTAAGTGAATAATCTCGTTGTTCCCTAAAAATGATCCAAGAATGTCTCTTAGGATACGTAAAACTTGTATAGAAAATAAAAGGAGAAAATAAGTAACAGCGGTCTTGTTTTGAATAAGAAACAACTCAAATTTAACCATTAATTAAAGTTTTGAATTACCACTCCCATAAAGGAGAAGTTAATATACCCACTCGATCACATTTTATGTGTCACCATTAGCTGGGGCGGATTAAGGGGCGAAAGTGGTTCACCCGAACCCCCTTCTGTTTTACACTATATATTTAAGGTAAAATTTTGATTTGTACATATATAAGTCATATTTTGAATCCCCTTGACACATCCTAAAAGCATAGCTGAGTTGGTCAAAGGTGTCATAATCTTTGTTATGTTGCTACTTCAATTTTCACCAGCCATAATCTATTTTAATTTTTTTCTTTTTTGAATCTCCTTAGAGAAAATCATGTCTCCACCACTGACCATTAGTATTGTTAAAGAGTTAAAAACAATCTTTCCTTTGTTTATGGTTTCTCAAGAACTTTTAAAAATATTTTATATTATAAATATTCTAAATTTTTAAATATGTAAATTTTATTTTTGAATATGTTAGAAAAATTAATGTTTGAACTGGAAAAAAAAAAAAAAAAAAAAAAGATGGCAGCTAGAATTGAAGTGACGAATTAGAGTTGGTTGAAAATTCACGTGAGATGCCACCTTCTCTTGGAGTGATGGAGATGTCTTACCATCCATTCTCTCAATTATTCAAACGAAATTGTCGGAATGTTGCTGGTTATTTTAATTTGAATAATTCCTTTCCCTCTTCCCTTTTCTTTGTTTTATTATTTTCCTTCTCTCAATTATTTTGTCATACACTTTGGGTTGAATATTCATTGAACTCTTTTTTTTTTTATGGTGATATTGCTGGGATATATATTAGTCATGTGTTTAGATATAATATTTATATAAAATAATTATTTATTTAATTGTCATAAAAATTTAAATAGATTAAATATTTGTTTGTTTGTCCGTTTACTTAATTATTAGATTTAGTGTATAGAGTTTTAGTTTATACACACAAGATTAAATCATTGATTCTTATAAGTTATAAAGCTTAAGTTCACATTCTAAGATGAAATTGAATACATCGTAAGAATAATTGTAGCACAAGAATATAATTTATCTTGATTATAAAATAGTATAGTTTCAACTTGTGCTAGTGGACATTTTGTATGATTTAGAGATAAGTGTTTCTATACTGACTATATAAATAAATTTTCTAGCCCACTAATTAAATATATTTATACTATTAATCTTGATATAATTATTGCAGCAAGGTCTATTGTTTGTTTTTTTAATTTAATGAGAGACGAGATTCTTTTATGGATCAATATAAGTTTTTATGTGTAAATTTGGTCGGTGAATTTATATTCGACACATATTAAGAGGAAATATAACGGAATTTATTAATTAATAAATTAAATTATTAATTATTTATTTATTTCTTTTATGGATCAATATAAGTTTTTATGTGTAAATTTGGTCGGTGAATTTATATTCGACACATATTAAGAGGAAATATAACGGAATTTATTAATTAATAAATTAAATTATTAATTATTTATTTATTTATTAATTGGTATATATAATCTTAACATGGAGATCGAGGAGTTAAGTAAGGTTTTAATGGAAGAATTTCAAATTCAATTGAGGCGTGCAATTATGAATTTTCGGTGGAATGGTAAGAATAATTGGAGAAAATATAATTATTTCTATAGTAGAAAGCCTAGTTTAATTAATTCTATGATCTCTATTGTGCCGAGTAAAATTAGGATTTTAGAAAATCTTTTTTTAGTGGAAAAAAAATCCCTATAAGTTTTGATAAAAGTTCTACAATATTGTAATCCGCGGTAAGTTGTCGATTGAGAGACTTTTCAATATTGAGAATAAAAATAATAAAAGAGAGAATGAAAAAAGTAAATATAAAACAATAATGCGGACTTGTATTAGTTGTTAGGATATAAATAAGGCAAAAAATTAAAAAATAGTTACCTTACCCATGTAAGAAAATAATTCATTAAAAATTATTTCATTCTCTAATTATTACCTCACATAAAAGTTATTGTACTTTCGCTATAATAATTCTTTTTAAATTTAAATGTACACATAGCTTTCTAATAATACATCATTAAGAAAAAAATGGGGGCCCTGTCATAAATAGAATTCTATTTATGGTGAATGTCCATATTTAGAGAGATCCTAGGGTTTATTACTTGGTGGCTAAGTCAACCTCTCCCTATAAATAGAGGGTTCTATTCCATTGCAATTCATCCCAAAATTCAATAAGAATTCCTTCTCTCTCTTTCTCTGCAATATTGCTCTTGTTCTTTTATTGTTTTATAATACGTTATCAGCACGAGACTCTACCGTCTCAAGAAGCACTTTGAGAAGATTAAGGTAATTTTTCTCATCTTTTTA